TTTTTTTTTTTGGTAGATTTTATTGGTTGCTTGTTTATGCATTTTACTAAAGATAGGTACATACATTAGATGTTGCTATTGAGGGAATATGATCAAATGTTGCTAAAATGATTCCAACGGGTTTCCTCGATAAGGATCAGCAAATCGGATGACAAAAGGCTTTACATATTCACCGGAACAAAAACTCTTCACTTGCGTTGCCAGTCGAAGGAGGACAGAGCTTCGTGGATTGAGGCGCTTATGTTGGCTAAAGATAATTTTCCAAGACTGTTGACAAGCAATGAGCTGGCACCTTCTGAAGAAATTGTAGTTTCAACCGAGAAGCTGAGAACAAGATTAACTGAAGAAGGGATTAGTGAGACGGTGGTTAAAGATTGTGAATCGATAATGCTAGGTGAAATTGCATTGATACAGGATCAGATGAAGAAACTTCAAATCAAGCACGTCTTGTTGCTGGACACATTAAGGAGACTGGAGGTGTAAATGGGTTTGCGCTGTTTTCGCAATTAGATTACTTTATTTTATTCTTTGAAAATATCTCTGAAAACTTTAACTTTTAGTATCTTGGTTTTCTGGTTATCCTGTCTGGCGAGGAAAATAGTCGAAATACAATGTGGACTCTGCATAGATTAAGTGATTTAAAAAATGAGTGGAAGATGACTATCTATACATTTGGATATTATTCTTGCCTGTCATCCTTAAGATCATGTTATCACTATAACTGTTTAATATGAGCCTGAGGGAATAAGTTCATGTGTGGTTTGATGCAGTGTCTCCTATAGTTTGATTGTTTATGTTGATTTGTTTGAGCACATAACCAATATATACACCCTTCATTAACATCCCAAGTACTTTGAAATCTCTTTTTCCATCTAAAGATTGTGACACCAGTTAAATTCATTCACAGACTGAGAAAATCGAACTGGAAACAACTGTTGTGGATGAGACCAAGGCACGAGATTCATTTTGTGGACAGGGGAGAAGGTTCAGTGGTTAGTTCAGCATTTCATACTATGTGGTTTTATCGAACTGAAAGAGATATTTTTGAAACCCATTTAGTAATGTATTCCAATAAAACTGATTGGCAAACTTTTTTTTTTTCAATTTTAAATTGAGGCAGTTTCAGATTTCTACTCAGTCATGTCGGGCGGAAGTGCTACCGACTCGGAAGCAGATGGAGTCGACGTTGAAACAGATGAAGATGAAAGAATCTTTTTCGACACAAATGATTCTCTTTCTGCAGAGTGTCTTAGAAGCAATTCATACCGAAGAAGAGATAATCCAGTGTTTGCTCATAGCCCCTCAACAAATGAAAGAAGATCTTTCTTCTCTGGTCATATGAGAGACATTGGAATGGAAATACAGGATCCCGATTTCCCATACATCAAAAGAAGGGATAACTTACCAGAACCAAAGGATAAAGATAAGCCGGTCGGGCTATGGTCGATTATTAAGGACAACATTGGAAAAGACTTATCAGGTGTTTGTTTACCAGTTTACTTCAATGAGCCACTGTCCTCACTGCAAAAATGCTTTGAAGACTTGGAATACTCGTATCTTGTCGACCGAGCATTGGAATGGGGAAATCAGGTCAAGCCTTTGTTTATTAGTATTTTGTTATTTTTTTCTTTTTTTTT